TATTTTTAAAAATAACTATATATAACAGGATATTATAAAAAGTAAGTTACAAAATTTTTATTAAAATGTTTCTTACATACTGTTATATTGGCTAGACCACAAAAATATTCATTTTGGGCTGCATGCAGCCCATGAGCACAAGTTTGACATGCTTGGCTTAGAGTTTTTATCATCAACTAGAGGCCCAGTGCACGAAATTCATGCATGGACGTGGGGGTGTCCCTCAGCCTGGCCTGACCTCTTTTCAATCTGAGACCTCTTGGGGTATGTCTGACTGCCGGTTTAGGCCCGGTCTAGGGCCTAAACTGGCAGTCGGACATACCTCTCACAATCTGGGACTGCTGGCTCCTAACCCCTCACCTGCCTGCCAGCCTGATCACCCCTTAACCGCTCCCCTGCCAGCCTGATCGCCCACAACTGCCCTCCCCTGCCGGCCATCTTGTGATTATGTGAGGGCATTGCACGAGGGCGTGAGGACCACTTAGGCTTTTATTAGTATAGATGAGTGCTAGATTTTATCAATGCTTTTTCTGCATCTATTGATATGATAATGTGATTTTGACCCTTCATATTGTTTATGTGGAGTATCCTGTTTATTCATTTACATATATTGTACCAAACTTGCACTCCCAGAATAAATCCTACTTGCTCATAGTGTATGATCTTTTTAATGTACCATATTGCTGAATTCGGTTTGTTAATATTTTGTTGAGTGCTTTAGCATCTATGTTCATCAGGGATATTGTCCTATAATTTTATTTCTTTGTAGTGTCTTTATCTGATTTTGGGATTGGGATAATGCTGGCCTTGTAAAAAGAGCTCGGGAGTCTTCCTTCCTCTTGAATTTCTTGGAAGAGGATATATGTTAGTTCTTCTTTGAATGTTTGGGGGGGAAAATCACCTGTGAATCCATCTGGTACAGGACTTTTGTTAATTTATTTCTGCTTCGGTTTCATTAGTTGTTATAGGTCTATTCAGGTTTCTGATTCTTGATTCAGTTTTGGAAGATCGTATGTTTCTAGGAATTTATCCCTTTAGTCCAGATTATCCAACTTGTTGGCATATAGTTGTTCACAATATGTTCTTACAATCCTTTGTTTTCTTTGGTGTTAGTTGTTACTTTATCTCTTTCATTTCTGTTTTTATTTATTTGGGTCCTGTCTTTTTTCTTGATGAGTCTGATTAAAGGGTTGTCAATTTTGTTTATCTTCTCAAAGAACTAGCTCTTGGTTTTATAGAGTTTTTGTAATATATATAATCTTTATTCTGCTCTGATCTTTATTATTTCCTTTTTTTACTAAGTTTGGGCTTTGTTGTTCTTTTTTCAGTTCCTTATTTGAGATTTTTCTTGTTTCTTGAGGTTGGCCTATAATCCTATGAATTTTCCTTAGTGCTGCTTTCACTGTGTCCCATAGATTTTTGGGTTGTTTTGTTCTCATTTTTGTCTCAAGATATCTCTTGATTTCTTCCTTGACCTCATTGTTAAACCAGTCTCTGTTTAGTAAGCTTTTGTTTATCCTCCATGACTTCTATTTCTCTATGTAGGTCTGTTAATATTTGCTTTATATATTTAGGTGCTCCTTTGTTGGGGGCATAAATGTTTACAATGATTATATCACCTTGTTGGATTGCTCCCTTTCTCACTATATAGTGTCCTTCTTTGTCTCCTACTGTAGACTTTGTTTTACTAGTAAAGTCAATATTATCGGATATAAGTATTGCTACCCCAGCTGTTTTTTCATTTCCATTTTCATGAAATATTTTTTCCATCCCTTTACTTTTAGTCAGTGTGTACCTTTTGTTCTGGGGTGGGTCCTTTTATACATCATATACAGGGTGTCCCAAAAATGCACATACACTTTGAATAATTATAAGGGCAGTGTTTATTAAAATACATTTCATTTTAAAATAAAATGTAATAAATCTACAAAGTGTGTATACATTTTTGGGAGACACCCAGTATATACTTCTTTTCTTATCCATTCAGCTACCCTGTTTCCTTTGATTGGAGCATTTTAGCCATTTAATTTTAAAGTGATTGTTGATTGGTGTGTATTTATTGATTTTATTCTTTTAACTATGTTCCTCTGTTTATATTTTCTTCTTCTTAAAAAAGACCCTGTAACATTTCTTATAATACTCATTTGATGGTAACAAAGTCATTTAGCTTTTTCTTGTCTGAGAAGCTCTATTTCTCCTTCAATTTTAAATGATAGCCTTGCTGGGTAGTCTTGGTTGTAGGTTCTTGTTTTTCATGATTTTGAGTATTTCATGTTCATCCTTTCTGGACTGAAATGTTTCTGTTGACAAATCAGCAGACGTCTAATGGGAGCTCCTTTGTAAGTAGCTACCTGTCTTTCTCTTGCTGTTTTTAAGATGCTCTCTGTCTTTAACCTTTGCCATATTAATTATGATGTGTCTTGGATTGGGCCTCTTTGGGTTCATCTTGTTTGGGACTCTGTGCTTCCTGGACATGTGTGTCTTTTTCTTTTACCAGGTTAGGGGAGTTTTCAGTCATTATTTCGTAAATGGGTCCTTGATCCTTTGCTTTCTCTCTTTTCCTTCTGGTACCGCTATGATGCGTATATTGTTACTCTTCATCTTGTCTCAAAGGTCCCTTAAATTATCCTCATTTTTGTAAAATTCCTTTTTCATTTTACTGCTCTGATTTTGTTTTCTGTTGCCTGTCTTCCACATTGATGATTCTGTCTTCTGTTTCATCCAGCCTACTATTCCTTCTAGTGTGTTCTTCATTTCAGATTTTGTATTCTTCATTTCTGACTGATTCTTTTTATGGCTTCTGTGTGCTTTTTCGTGCTGTTGTAGTTCTAAGTTCCTTGAGCATCCTTATAACCATTGTTTTGAAGTTTAGAGTATCTGATAAATTGCCTGCCTCCATTTCATTTAGATATTTTTTTTGAAAGATTTCTCCTGTTCCTTCATTTGGGCATGTTTCTTTGTTTCCCCATTTTGGCTCTCCTTTTATATTTGTTTGTATATATCAGGTAGATCTGCTATGAGTCCCAGTCTTGGTATGGTGGCTTTCTGTAGTAGGTATCCCATGGGACCCAGTGGTGCAGTCTCCTTGATCACCTGAGCTGGGTGCTCCGTGAATGTCCCTGATGTGGGTTATGTGGGCCCTCCTGTTGTAATTGAGCCTTGATTACTATTGGCCTATTCATGCATGGGGTCGACTCTCAGGCAGGCTGACTGTGAGGATCAACCCCAAACACAATGTATGAGCCTTTGTGCAGGTGCTAACCACATGAAACATATTTGTCTCAAGGGTCTGGTACCTGCCCAGATCTCCCTGTGTATATGCTACTAGTGAAGCTAATTGGATCCTGCTCTCATGTTGTCTGAAGGTGGCCACTGTTTTTGGTCTTGGTAGGGATTCTGGGGCTTGCCAATATCAGACACTGTCTGTTACTGGTCCTAGCAACCTCTTTGGAGCTACAAAGTGATCCACATTTTGTGGCCGTCTCTTCTAGACCTGGGTCTTCATGGGAAAAATCAAGCTGTGCACTAAGGCTGGCTTTTACCAGCACTGAGCCCAGGGAAAGGTTGGCAGAAGCCCCAAGACACCCTGAGATCCACCTCCACCTGCCTGAGTTTATCAGGTCTAAACAGACCAAGATTTGGTCATGTGAAGGGAGGGCTCTTCCATCATTTGGGCTTGTGAGAGAAAAATGACTCCTGTCCTAGAGCCACACAACTCAGTCTGTCTCAGATTCTGCCACGTATTGATTTCACCAGGATGCAGACACCAGGAATTAAGATGATGGGGCTAGTGGATCTCCCATGACAGGGAGATCTTTTTCAAAGATTTCTCCTGTTCCTTCATTTGGGCCATGTTTCTTTGTCTCCCCATTTTAGCTACCCTTTTGTTTGTTTCTATAATCAGGCTTGGGGAAAGTTGTGGGATTTGGCCCTGGCCCCAGAACCACACA